GTTCTCCTTTTTCTTGACAGACTTCAATTATGCACACAGTTACTTGTCATTCCTGCTCCCCGGCTCCGTTTGCAGCGGACCGCTACTTCTGTTCGACGGGTGCGGCACTAACGAGAACTTGTGGTCGTTGCCTCATCGGCTGCCTTCAGAGTGGAAGCTCTCGGAGGAGAAGCGAACCCGAGAATACAAACGCGCTCTCATCGGAATTATTTCCAGAACGAAGCGAGAGCGTGACCCCGGTCCGTCGTCATCGACTTGGCGAAATCACTGACGATTGCGATTAGGGTCCGCCGAGATCTCCCTCAATCGATGGCCCAGTCGGACCTTGCCAGCCGGGCATGCCCACGGACGACGCCACAGAATTCAGTGCCGAGCTTCCTGGAGCTTGAATACTGGGTCATGGGTCCCGAACGTAGAGAGGCGCAGTGATCTACGTCCCGGAGTCGCCGCGGGAACGTACCGAGAAACGGTATTGGAACGACCTACACGCTCTCTGATGAGGCCGTTGGCGATTGGGAAGATCAGCCCCCTCTCCTCATTGACCGTGTTCTCGCCCCCTTCCACGAAGACCGTCAGCATTAGGCGGAGTGGGACAAAAACCGCGAAATAGTCCGCTGTCCGTTAGTCTCGTCCCAGTGCACAATGAACGACCTGCTTCTTGCAAGTTCTACATGTCATCCTAGTCTCGGGCTCGCTCGTCTCGACCGGCTGAGCTCTGGTTAGCTGGAACACTGAATGCGAATAGCAAGTCAGTCGGTTCGACGGCGACGACCTGACGTCTGCGACGCGGCCGCTCCCGGACGGAACGACGACGGGCTCATTACCCACCGCGACAGGACAGCCGCTGCGGCAAGACGTTTAACTTTACAGCCAGAGTCGGGGAGGAAGGAAGGAATACCGAAAAAAAAGGAGACATCGCAGAAGCCTCCGTGCTCTATGAGCCAAAGAATTACGCAGTCTCTTTATGAAGGGCCACGCCGGTCGACCGGGCCTCGCGTCCGGGGCTCTTCCGTCGTAAAAAAACGCACTCGCATCACACACCCGCCGAGANCTTCGCTTTCCTTTGTGCCCAGAGTCTCAAGAAGAGAACGAGCACGAGGCTCGGATAGACACAGACGGGCTTTCACTTCACTACGACGACGACGACGACGACGTTGGAATAGGTGACTTTGCATGCGACACTCCGAAGTTCCTCTGACGTCCTTGGACGGGGGATTCCGGTTTCGCTTTGGGAGGAGCGGAGCTTTCCCCGAAGACACGGGGTAGACGGGGGTCCCTCCATCTTTTTCTTCATTTTCATGCACCCGCCAACAGTGCCATTATCTCCCCAGGCTGTGCTCACACCAGGAGTCAGGAAAAAGAAAACGGCGAGCAGAGCAGAGAAGCGAGCGACCAGCTCTATGAGTCGACCCAGAAACGCATACACTCCTCTCAAAGGGGGAAGGTTGGAAGAGGAGGATTCAAGGAAACAATACCTCCATCGATTATCCGTTTCTTCCGCCGCCCGAATGATCTTGTAAGACACGACAAGATGACCGATCATAAAAAGCGAGATTCTATCCAGCAGAGGGGAAATTCGAGCCGAAGCGCAGCTCTTCAGTCAGACATATTCAGGCACCTGATCATAAAATTTGTTTGTATCGTATATGTCATATCATGCATACGTCGTCTCGTATACAGTGATGATATTTATATTTTCAGTTTTCATGATTCGCAGGTCAAACTTCCACCACGATGAGGAGATTGACGAACGAGGTTCGAGTCTCTCGATAAGCAACGAGGCACACTGAGTTTTGAGTATAGAGGAGGGCATCTATGCTGTCTCTGAAAGCTTTGAAAATGATTACGAGAGTATCCACTCAAGCATCTTTGATCATTGGGCACGGAGGAGCAAGCGTAGCATGGAAATGATCTGCCTTATTGCTTGTTACCATTAAGCCGAGCCCCCACACGATCGTCCCCGATCTCCCACTCTGCGAGGAACAGCTTCCTTCGTAATGGCATTTGACATTACCACTTCATCAAGGAATCACAAAACTTGCCCTTGTTCGAGCCCGAGTCCTCACCCCTTCGTGCCGCCGACTCTGTGTAATGAGGTCTCGCAGAACTCGAGAGCTCCAACGATGGTGACTCAGCAACCAATCTCGAATAGTACTTCATGAACCCTCATCGGGTTAATGATAGGGACAGCGTCCACGGTCGGCTGGGCTGCGACGATTTCCGCTCGACGCTCTGCACACATTTCTGGCGCGTATCTGCTCTCGATCTCGATGAAATTTCTGGTCAAGTGGTGAGAGAATGGATCTTGCCGTCCGAGGGTGCCGCTGTGTGAAGAATCGCTCGGCGTCCCCGCATCGTCACGCCGCCGCTTATGAGCTGCTATCAGCTGTTCCCGGGCGCAGCAGCTGATGTGCGGCCCAATGAGTGGGGTGAGTCCCGTGGTATTCGAGAAGAAGACGACGACGACAACGAAAAAAAGATGGTGATGATGGTCTTTACGACGAGGCAGGCCGGCCGGCCAGCGGTGGCGTGGTGTTGGTGGTAAGTATTCCTTAGGAAGGATCATCTTCGCTTTGAATAGATTGGGTCGTTTTTCTCAGTCAGTCGCTGGTTATCGACCGGAACACCCCGGTGAGGCTGCCGACACCCTCGTACACGGTCAGAGCATGACAACATGCGGAACAAATCGTATAATCATAACGCATTGATGGTAAAATGAATTCCTTAGGAAATATCGCGCCAAGCTGGACGTTATGATTCATGAGTACGACCACAGCCGGCATCCACATATCGGGGCGAAGATCCGCCGGTGACCACAGCAGCAACGCATTGAATGCCTTCGAATCGATTCACGAGAGACCGGCGGCAGAGAACATTTCGCGTAGTCCAGACAGAAATGTTGGCGCGAATTCGGTGGAACGCCTCTGCTCCCGGTCGCTCGACCGGCCGGCTGGCCACCCGTGACAACAAGCTGTTACCGGGCTGTGGGTGTTTCAACAGTCTTCGCAAATGAATTTATTCGACGTCACGTACGTCGCTATCGCACAGAAAGACCTGTAAGCGCTTCTTTGTCTGCCATGACGTTTTGTGGTCGATGCGATCTGCTGCCGGTGTTTATTATTGGCGGGTTTCAAAACTCTGTCCGACGAATCGATCGAGCAGCAGTCGATCGTGTCGACACAGACGTACGTAACGGCATGAGTAACGGCACGGCACAGCCCACTCCGAACAATTATGAGCGACTTTCCTCGTTTTCATCGAAATCCCAGACCCGGTGAGAATTCCCGGAATTCCGCCGGTAGATCAGCCCTGCCTCTATCCCGGTCTGGATATAATCCGATCCGGTCTTGGCTCCCGACTCGGGGACCGGAGAGAGATTCCGCCACCGACGTTCGAGATTTCAGTCGAGCGTCGGTGATCCCCGCAGCCCGGTTCGTTTCCCCTCGACAGCCTGACTTTGCGGAGGAACGTCACATTTGTTGTTGGTCGTTCGATTCATCCATCCGTTTGTCGAGGCTCTGTAGGCCGCTCCGTGGGCCACCTCGGAACGCAATCTCGACGTGTAAGAGAAAGCACCCCAAACCAACCCTAACAGCAGCGAAGGGGAGCCGAGCCCCAACGCCGTCACATCAGCTATGAGATCGGCACCGAGAGAGCCCACGATAGAAAAAGCAAAGAAGCAAAAGGCCCTCGGAGCCTTCAGCCACTACCGGCCGGTGCTGTGGTAGGACGGTGGTCTACAAGTTTTTCTTTTTCATCCTTCCCTATTTTTGGTGCAAGCAAAGACTTCCTATGTCCGACAAAGCAAGCGGAGCGAGGGGTCGATAGGCGTCGACCACTCAGTTTGCCGAAGAACAGACAGAGCGCGGTCCCACGGTTGATTCGGTTGACCTCGAATATAAATCGTTGAATGCTCGGTTGGTCGGTGTGTTGGTTGTCTGCTTACCTCGGTCTCTTTGCATCAAGTGATGGCATCAGCGATTCGGCTCTTGTTTTTGACAGCTGTGCCGGAACCGAGAAATCGACACTCGGAGCAACCGGCTCTCGGAACGACAAGGAGCGGCGCACTCCAATAATTTTTCCCTCAGGATTTCCACGGAACGACCCGCTACCGCGACACAGCCACTGACTTCGCCTGATCTCGAATCTTCGTCGTTTGATCGGGAGCCGGGAAGCTGACTGCTTGAACGTGCCGGGCTCTCATTCCGAAAGTATGGGGGTCTCGCTATCAGCAGCCCATATCCCCTCCCCATCCCTCCCCCCCCTGGAAGAACGAGCTGACGTTCCAATATTCTCCCATCTCGACTGCTGTAATCGGACTATCGACGAACAGACAGAGATGCCCCTCAATACGATCGGGTAAGAATCCTGTTAGGATCGCGCTTGCTACAGCTTTGTTGAGCTCGTCTTGGGTGAATAGTCACTACTCCCTCACTCAGCTGCGGAAAGCTCGGAGCGAAGCACGTTTCGATGGCGGCTTGTGTGGCGGGCTCGTTCAATGGATACGAGCGATCGGGAGACAGAACGAAAGCGTGATTGCGAGACAGACAGCCCTAGGATATTACCATCGATCTCCTGTAGGTGCGGGACAGCGTACAGGGAAAGCAATCCTTTTCTGGCATACTGGCGAAGACCTCCCGTACCTCTTCGTAGCTACGGTCCGCTCCGAGACGAGAGCCGTCTCCCCAGGGAGAGATGAATCTGTTCGCCTTCAAAATTGTCCGGGACATTACGTCCATGCGCCCGGTGGGAGAGAGTTCGCGGGCTAGACGGAGGCCCCGAGGGATTAGGCTGGTAGTTTCGGCCTTTTTCCAGACTAGCCGAGACTTGAAGGAATTACCTACGTACATGCATAGCGGATCAAGAACCCGACCGCCCCGAAATTACCCGCCGGCTACGAGAAATTCCAGGGAAAAGATTTCCCTGCACATTGTCGAACGCCTTGAGGGAAAAAGAAAAAAAACGCCACCTGGAACGAAAGGAACATAGTTGACACTCACCGTTAGTTGACATGGTTGCGATGGGTTGATGAAGTCCAATCCTCTCTGACCGTGGCCGTTGAAGCAGTGGTGGATGTTTTGCGTGAATTTTCGATGCACGGCGCTTAAGGCGTAGACGCATAGAGCGCTCTTGTGGGTCGGCTTGTTGTGGGAGTCATCGCCCTCGTCCTGAGATTTGGCGAAGACAACGAACAGCACGTCGTCCTGAGCGCTGATTCCTAGGCTGACGGCCAGCTCTGAGCCGGGTTTTCCGACGTAAGCGGCCTGGGCCAAGTTGTAATCGAGTCCGTCCGACGTCTTGCACGTTAGCGCCACTTCCGTATAGGAGTAGTAGTGCACATCGCGTTGACACACGCGCACCAGCTTTGAGATATAGGGGTACGGCCGGTCCGTCTCCTTCTTCTGAACCGTGAGCCAATAGGAGAAGTCCTTCGACGTGAAACCGAACACGTAATGGATCGGGAAGAACTCTCTGGCGAGCGAATTGACGCTCACTCGCGTTCCGGTCGACACTCCGGTGACCGCAATGTTGAACGTGTTGTTGTTGAGATCGAGACTCCGACTCGAAACCGCGGGTACGTCGGACCGGTACGGTCCGTTGTTGGTGTACGACACTCCGACGTATAGGACGCGTTGATTGTTCGGTCCTTTGCCGATGAAGCCCACGGTGGACGCCGTCGCGTTGTTTGCGACAACAGATTCGTGCGCCGGCGTCCGGGTATCGTGAACGTTGTCGAGTCGGTGTACGGCGCAAACGCCCTGGAACAGCGATCCGCAAGAGATCAGACGCGAGTTCACGTAATCGATCACAAGAACTTTGTTGTAGTAGTCGAGGGGTTTCCTGTGGATCGTAGGACATTGCCTGGTCACCGGACACCACGGATCGTCTTCTTGAGGTCCCATCTTGGCGACACTTTGGACATTCAGGTTCTCGTCGAGCTGGAAAATCGTGTTCACAGCTCCGACGTATATCTGACCGGTGTGTTCGTTCATCGTCTGATGGATGAATCGACCCGTCGTGGGGTCCGAAAACGAACTGTACTTCGCTTTCTCTTGACTGTTATGTTTTTTCGGAGCTGCCTCCGCCAACGGTAGACAGCCGACTGTGAAATATATGAACAGTGGTAGCAGCAGAAGGGTATACCGCCATCTCCTTTTTCTCTGCGGGAGCCGTTGACTGAACGTCGTGACGTTCTTCTGGATAACTCTGATGGAATCGAAGCTTCCGTTGAGCTTCTGCCTGCCAGCAAATTTCTCCGTTCTCCACGAGGGCGCAGGACCTGCGTTTCCTGCTTCATCATAAACCGATTGATTGCTCTCGTCTTGATTCATGCTATCTAGCTGCGGCCAGGCCAATCGGGCGGCCACGCTGTTCTCCTCTTCGCCACGCCGCGGAGACATGTTAGCCCGTCAGCTCCCAGAGGAAGCTTTTCCTCAGCTAAATGTCCGACGAGGCTCACACAACACACCTGCAAGTAGAATAAAAAGCTCTCGTTAGTCTGGGACTTTTGCCGCAGCGCCGATCATTGGTCCTCGATCCAGAGGAACGGGGATTCCAATCATTTCGATTTTAAACACTTATAATCGATTTTCTCGATTTAGGTATTATCATTTATTCTCTCGATTTAGGTATTATAATTCATTCTCTCGATTTCATTTGGGAGCTAGTACAGGGCTCCCCGAGGGGGGCAGTGAGCCTCAGTGATTTTTTCGAGCCAGCAGGGATCGATCTCTGTGGATCTATGTTGAGACGGCGCGGGCGTAAAAGTTCAATCGTCTCCAAGTCGCTACGAGCTGACGCTGGAATAGGATCGAGCTTGAAGTCAGAAAAACGAGAAGAGTGAGATCAGCAAATCAGAAAAACAACGATCAGAGAAACAACAACGGCGCCCGCGTCCGATGGAAAGCAGGGGAAGAACAAGATAGCGTTAGCTTCTTTCCTCCATCCCTCCGTTCGCATCAAGGAGGGAATGAGCAGAGAATCGCTGCGGGACGGGGGCAGGGGTTCGAGCAAGGGGCTCTAAGGAAAAAACCCTTCCCTGCGGAGAGCGTAAACCATTTGGCTGCTGGGTCCTTCGCGAACGCCGCTGCGGCCGCCGCTCATTACGCCAAACTACATACAATGCCGTTTCACCGCCGAATTCGTTTGCGCTCAGTTTTTGTTGCGAACAGAAAGTTCAGGAGCAATGTAATTTCGAATGGGCCCCCCTCCGACCTCTATCGTGATATCAGGGAGCGTAAATGATCGTATTTCACGAAGAGCTCGCACCGACACGAACGACGACACAAGTCGCGTACTTGACACCGTATCTCTTTCGGGAGAGCGGAGGACCTGAGTGAACGCGTCTGAATTCTCGAGGAGTGCCGTTGGAGATTGCGAGGGCATCGGGGACCAGATCGAAAGCGGTGTGACCGCAGAAAGATCCGAAGCTGGGCTGGACGGGATGGGTGTCTGGCCCGCGGCAGCACACAAGCGATGATAACTCGCCAACGGGATTCTTCCCGGTTATCGTCGACGAAGACTCGGCGGCCTGCAGTCTGTTTAGGTCGATGCTCCGCCGACTCGGGATGGCAAGCAGCAGGCTTCGTGTCTCGATGGCTTGAGCAATCGGTATCAGTGAGCGGTAATCGCTTTTCTCGCTTGTCATTTAGGTAGGTTTTTAGCCGCCCAGTCCGGGTCAATCCCCAGCGATCCTCGGGGAAGCAGAAGCCGCTCGCCAGCCCTCTCGCTATCCTTGGCGTCAAACCCCCTCTCGTTCACAGAGTCGCTGCGTTCCCAGTGCGTATGGTGAGCTAGGTCGGCCTATCGGCCACTGACGGAGCAAGCTCGGATTTAGCGAGCGAATCCCATCCCAATAAGTCCTCAGAGAGAAATAACGTTTCAAGGACGCAGAAGAACGTCTCTCTTTCAAGGACGTCTCTCTCGGCGAAGCTTTCGGTTGCTACTTCGGCACAATCAAACAGACTCATCCCGACTCGGAAAGTTTGTTTCCTTCCGGTATAGGAGGTCAATCCACCGACAGGGATCAAGCGTACCCAATATTGTCATTGTCCTCGACCGCAATACCCACGGAGCAACGAAAAAACGCTGACACGTCCACTGCACGATGGCACGAGCGACGTTTGTTGATCTCGGAGTGCTGTTTAATTTTTCTTCGCGGCTGACGCCCGATGATCAATTCTCATTGATAGTGGCGATAAAAAATCTAGAGCCATCGACGGGATCGCTCATGAAATTCGAACCCGTTCATCTTCCGTGATAATCACAGTCCCCGATGACAACAATGGAGAAGAACGAGCAGCCGACGAGCACCGAGCGAGCGCGCGTGATGTTGAGCGAAGTGACATCCACTCGAGACGAACGTTGCCGGGACGGGAGACGATGCAAATTAGCAGAAACACGGTCACCGTAATGAATAGAATCCGACACTCGAAGTGGTGAGCGGTGATGCCCGTCAGCTGATTGAGATTGCACCTAAGCCCAAAGTAAACGCTGGGATCAGCCCCTCTTCCGAGAATCCTGGAATAGGGACCATTCGACCATTCGTCGAATCGGAATCGTTTTCGATGGATCATTCGGAAAGAATCGGTCGGATCGGCCATGATGATGATTATACTGATGATTTAAATGATTCATCGAGCCCCGGCTATAAATCGAGAGCCTTCAATGGAGATAGGTGAAGAAAAACCGTCGCCTCGGTGGATCTTAGTTCGAGGGAATGATAAGTTCATCGAACTGTAACGGAGCAGTCCGCGGCTGGATCGGACGCAGCGCGGAGAAACTCCATCGAACGAGACTTGTTCATTTCATAGGCCGGAAACCCGGAATGAACAATTTAAATAGTGGTGAATGACTCATCTACACGAAGGAACGACCGGCCGAACATTCAATATTCGATGGCGATTCGAGTTCCGCGTCGTATCGCGAGCGTCATCGGATCGGGAACAGTGCATCTGGTCTCCCATTCCCTCCAAGAACGCCTGATCGAGAATAGTACATGGGTCGACCACTTTCGTCTGCTTATTCAAGCCGTGACATCCATAAGCAACACGAGCCGCTGAATTACAAGCACGTAAGGTACCCGTCTGATTTCATTCATCAATTCATCGGTTCCTGTCTTCGATATCCACCGGAGGTACCTACACGAACCGACGATTTCCTAGTCGGTTCCCGGGAATCGATACCTAACGCGGACCGAAAGTGGCGGCTCCGAATATTTCCGGAATCGCGAATCGCCAAACTCAACTAGAAATGATATCGGGCCCAGGAACTCTGGCTTCGAAAGCGAGTCGGACCATTGAATTGATATCTTTAGACATTCCCTCGGTGCAGAGTTTCGTCATATATTTTCCTCAGAGGGAAAACGTATTTGAGAAATTGCGTTTTGAAGCAACTCGTCCGATTTGCGTGGAGCGAGCGCTGGCTCCGAGAGCAATGGAAAAGCGTCGGCGTCGTTGAGGGCTCCCGTCGTCGACGTCGTTCCCCAAAAGTTGCTTTCCATCTATCGCTGTGACTTCGATGGATCACTACCTCTCTGGAGTCTCTCTCAAGTGACCCCGACCTAGGAACCGCCTGCCGCTCGACAGTTCCGCTCTCTGCCTACTGTGCGGAAGCCTCTTCCGCCCGCCTGCCGGCGAGCCAGCCGCGTAGACTCTCTCAGACACGTTTCCACGAAATTTATCCCGCTGCCTAGCAACTGCCAGTGGTGGGAAAAGGGGATCAGGGGGGGGAGGGAGAGGAATCAACGAACTCGAATTGGGAAACTGGAGTACCTAGTCTGAGTTGAAGGGATAAGGGAAGGGAACTTGGTCAGCATCGAGAATCGAGCAGGCAGAGGGGAAGACTCCAAGCCGTCTTGTGGGAGTCGGAGCGGATTTTTCCCCCAATTGACTGATCACCTACCTGTCCAACTTTTCGGGACGACCAGCAGCGCATGTACTGCGAATGCTCCCGCCTCCACTCGTTAAACTCGCTCACACCGAGAATACGTGGCCAAGAACCATTCCAGCATCGGGTTCGCTGTCTGATTACCGGATGACCAATCTCACAGACCCAGAGGTCCGCCGAACAATCAAACGATTCGGGCTGCTGTGAGACGAAGCTTCCGAAAGTTGTGATTCATACGGAGGCCACGGAATCAGCATCGAACTGACACTGCCCAACGCCAGCACCACTGTGGTTCCAATCGGAATGGACCCGTCCAACACGATAACGGTTTATAACCAACAGAGGACCGACGATTCCGGCTAAGGGTGGAATCATGGTCGAGCAGGACTCGAGTCTCGATTCTCGGAACCGGTCGATAAACCAAGGTCGCTGTGCGTTACCTGGAATCTCCTGGGGCTCTCTCGCCACTCGAGTCATCCCGAAGACCTGTCATGGGTTTCCGGAGAATACCGCATGAATAATTCAATTTTTCTCCACGAATTCTCAAATAGAGGATCAACTCTTCTCCCCTCGTTCATTTGACCATTCCGTATTCCACGACTCGCTCTGTATCGCGATGCGGATCTCATAATAATGCATCCTCTAGAAGATACGACGTTCAAGTGCGACGTGCGGTTCGCCATTCAGCAAGACAATTTCCCGTCGAGGGCCCTTACCGACGAACGGCGAATGATCAAATCGCACTCAGATCGCCGATGTGTAGAACTCTTCAAGTTGTCCATCTTCATTAAGAGGGCGTCTTCACCGTCTTCTCAATGAATCGCTCCATCGCCAATTATACAGGGCAGCCCTTGATGGAAATCCGACTCTCTGCCCACGCAATCAGTGCCGAACAGCGATATCCCGATGATCAGATAACAGCCGGTGCGGGAGAAGGCAAGGGACCGAGAGAAAATATCGAAAACATCAACGTGGAATTTAACAGTCGCGGAAACCACCAAGTATTCTCGGACGAGAGCCATCGGTGCCAGTTGCGTCCGGGTGATTCCAGAGGTTTTTTTTCTCATCTCGAACGAAGAATCGCGAACCTGGAAGAGCGGAGACGCTCCGGCGGCAATGACCTCATCGAAGTTTCGGCTAGACATCAAATGCAGGCCCAGCATCCATCTCGAGGACGAAATCAGGCGACTCAGTTCTAAAGTCGACGATCTTGGAGCCTTGAGGTTCCATCTCCGTTTTTCGTCGGATTCGCGCGATCAGCTGCACCCAAGCGAAATAGGCGGCAGCTCAGACTTTCTCCCCCTTCAATAATCCTACTTCTGGACTTGAAAGGTTGCATTCGCAGTCGGAGCCAACTGCTACCTGCAGCGGGAGGAGGTCGATTTCGTGCGTTTGACGTTTGATTCAGCGCAGCTCCCAATGCAGGAAATTTCCAAGTACGTGTAGAGAAAAGGAGAAACCGACCCTCAAGCCAACGAATGCAAGGACGACGGAGCGCTGTGCCGTACGACGCTGGCCATAAAATTCTCCTTCGGCTGCTCCCATGAAGTCGCCTCCACATTCGGCGTTGGAGGGTCCAAATCATCATTTTATGTTAAATACCTCAGATACTCACGAGCGCAAGGCTCCACCAGATCCAGGGTTAGAGCACCGACTCTCGGGAACGGGTCCCCGAAGGGAACTCTTGAAATTTCTACCTCCGCAGTGAGAATTTTTTCTCTATGCATTAGCAACGGCTGCGAAACCTGCATCGTTCGTCTCTTCTTCGTAACGCTGGAACTGACTATTTTCCGTCCATCTATCGCCTAGCCCTTATTCTCGTATAGACTGCTCGCGGAGTTCAACACGGACAAACAAGAAGATTATAAGCGTCAACAATCAACCGCAGTGATTATCGCCGGCCGCCAAATCGAAAGAAGCCATTGACAGACGTTGGATTGTCATGGCCTTCAAGGGGTAAGAATGAAAAAGCAACCGTACAGCAATTTCTCACAAACCCACGTCTTCGATTCTTTTGCGCGGAAAAGTGTGCCGTACTATTTATTGATCGAATTATCCACCGTTTGTTCTTTCACCCGTTCGTTCTGTGGTGGCCCCCTCTCGCCCAGTCGGCTCCATGCCGTGGTAAGCCATTCGGTCTCCCGACATCTCCCGGGGATCCGATGCTGATCGCTTATGATGGATCAAAAGAAGTCCGTTCACGCCTTCTGGAATTCCATGTGCTTTGAATTTTTCCATTTGCTCTTCGATCAATCGGTTTTTCTGTCCCCAAATCCAGTCGGGACCCCGTCACAGTAGGCTTCGATTGAGTTGTCCCGTTCCCCGGAGTTCCTCGTGCTCGGAAGCTTATCATCTGAGTTCCACTCCGTGGGTACTCCACGGAAAATTGTCATCAATTCCACCACACAATCGTCCCGAGACTTTCCATCTTCATTATTCGAGCGATAACCTCGCTGCTGACCTTGTGAAGCTCTCGGAGTCCTGAATTCTTCCCTCAATCCGCCGATCGGATCATTAATATGAATTTCCCCGAATTTCTTCATTCAATCAACGATTCATCCGCACAATTTAATTAGACCGTTTCAATTCGAATGACTCTAGCCCGAATGGGTCGGAGCCGGTACTCGGCGGCGGCAGCGGCGACTGGGCTCATCCCTCGGGAGCTGCTAAAGCGAAACGGTGTCTGCCCGCTTGTCATTGGCGCCATTCGCGAATTAATATTTCTCCACGATGACCTGTGTTCTCATGACTTCTTTTTCCGTTGTTCATTTCCTCAGCTCTCAATGGTTCGAAACGCTTCGTACGCGGCTGACGGTCGACTGCAAAGTCATGAATGGAGCTGACTGAGTCAGCCGCGATCAAACTCGCTCAAACGATCTTATCGTCGACGACGACGCGTGGTCCCAACTAACTATCATAATCATTGTATTGGAACTACTCCAAACGACGTACTATTACCTAGTGACTCATGCTCCACATCGAGAAATGTATCGAGGTCTCCGGAAGCCAGTCGCGTAAATCATTCAGGGATCGGTCGATTCTGCCCTCTACTACAAAGCACGGCTTCGGAGACTAATCAGAGCGCGGCACCGGGCGTATTTCCGTGGCCCGGTCGAGCCGTCGGATATACCTATGTAGACGCCCTCAGCTTCGCGAGCGCACACAATTCTCGCGAACGCCTGCTCCGGGACGAACGTTCATCATCGTCGTCATCGATAAGAGAGAAAAAAATTGATGCCCCTCTTTGTTCGTCCGGGTTCGAACTCGTTAGCGCGGTGAAAGGAAAAACCTTCAAGTATCGTTATCGCCCCGTGTTGGAACGATTCGTATTCAGTGCTAAGTGTTACGTGCGATCGTGCGCGAAGGAGTGCGGCCGGCGGAAGTTGGACGCACAGAAGGGTACCATAAAAAAATATTCACGAGGCTACGCTAATCCCGCACGGCTATCGAGTGTCACGGTCTCCTTACGGGCTTGTGCAGGAGAATACCGAGACCGGACGGAGGAGCGTGCGCGGAAGGAACGGAATATCAGAGGGGATGGCGGACAATGGGACATACTATAGGAGTTTTGGCTCCCCACCAAGAACCGCAGGAATAAATCTCGGAACGCAGTGTCGACCCGCGCTCTCGCCGCGGTGGCTCACAGCTTGGCTCACCCTGCAGCGCTTCGCTGTGATTTTTTCCGTTTGCACCTCCGCTTTGGAGGATTTCGTATCGTAAATTCCCTTCTCCAACTCTCGAACGGCTCTTCCCCTTGGAAATCTCCGGACTTGACCGCTGATCGGGGAGCGGGAAACGTTCCGGGAGCGGGTCACCGGAGAAATGGAAAAAATCGACCGTGCCGCGAAATGTGCGCTAATTTCTTTTCTACCCGATATTTTTGCCCTTGGAGCTGATCCAGACCTAGAAAGATCATAATCCTCCTTCTTCAATCTTGCTATGGAACCACGCAATCTCGGGCGGACATATTCGCGAATCGATCGATGATTGATCCCGTTTTCAGATTGACCTCCTTGCGGACGGCGAATATACAGATATGCTTCAATCTGAACGCAATCGTCGAAACTTGTCAACCGAGTGATTATATCCTCATTCGACGCGTCGAATGTCGTCTTCGGTTCTATTTCGGACGGGGAAATTAGTGACTCACTTCCGAAGCTAACAAGTCCAAGAATCGGCTTTGAAATGACGTCAATCGCCAGACGCTGAGTCGTTTCGCGTTTTGTCACCCGGGTTGTTTTCTGACTTCTCGAGAACTAAGTCTTCTCCCTGACGCTGAATAAACAGTTGACTCCGAGCATAGAGAAGATGACTCCTCTCGACACACCTTCTCCACCGAGAATCATGATGACTCTGGTTACCTTCGAACGAGATAGCATGCTCTGAGCGGGCGTAATTGAAGTCACTCAAATCGAAACGAGGAACGGAAGATTTCTTCTCCGATGTCTCGAGGTCCGACCGACGTCTCCTACGATGTAATACGTTCGATTCCGCGCCGACTTCGATCTGACACCCCGTCGAAAAGCACTGACGGACAGCTCGCAATTCATTCTTCCAGTCGTTCGTTCGACGACTCGTCGCTTCATTCGTTTCTTCTCTCATGGATCTCCTCTCTGAGGATCGGGAACCCTTCGAAGACGAAGCCTCCCTTGTCGTCCCTGCTATCCGAATCCGGATCATTTCGGAAGAATTTAACAGTTCGCAACGCGAGAACGGCCAAGTGTTCTGTGCCCGTCCATCTGACTATCAGCTCGTCGTCTGGTAGCCACCGCGGAGCTTATCGTTGCATTCCAATGATATGAGCACTACTTGATGCGTCTGTAGTGATCGCTTGCGGCTGACGGTGACCGTCATCTCTTGCTTATTTTGAGTCGATTATCGGCGAAATAACTGATTCTCGACCGGTCGATATTCGCGGTGTCTCTTTCGCGGGACCGACTTCACGGTCGACGCTCGCGGCTCCCGTTCAAGAGGTGCTGCTCACTCGGCGAAACACACGGTAGCGGCGGGGGAGAAGTGTCGCGCAATTCGTTCACGGCCCGAATCGACTCCACCCCATGTCGCCGTCGTGCCGTCGACGCACTCGAGCCCTCAAGGGGGGGAGCAGGGGCTCGAGCAGGTGGAAGGGAAACGTGGAAGCTTCTGAGACCACATGGAGAAATAAGGGAACGACCTAGAGTGGCGGAGCAGACGAACAAGCAAGTGACTGGGGAGAAGACATTTAGGGATAGGCACATACGACGACCCCTTCCTTCAATGGGCAAATAAAAGAAATTTTCCGGACGAAGCAAAGGCCTCTCTTGGGAAAGCTTTGGCTGCTGTGCCTTCCTGCCTGCCTGCCCGTCGACCGTCCGACCGACCGTCCGCCTGCCGTCGTTGCTCCTAGCGCTGCGCCGCCAGAGCGAAAGAAGGAGTTCTCCGCCGCTGCTGTTGCCACCACCGCCAATGCTGCGTCCTCGTTGCCTCCACGACTCGAT